ACCTTAATATATTCCTGACTCAGTAACTCGTCCTCTTTTCCCTCTGATGAAAGACAAAAGGAAAGAAAGTGAAAAAATGTCCAATGCTGTTTTTCTTTGTATTAAATAGAAGCAGGGTATAATTTTGAATTAGTGCTTTAAAACCATTTTGAGGTTCTCAAAAGGAGTAAGCAAAGATACATTATATGAAAAAGAAAAAAAAAAGGCAAAGCACAAAGACATAAAAGAGGTTGCTCAGAAAGGAAAAGCAGTGGAAATCTGTATCTTCCTATTGACTCTAACTGTCAAAAAAAACCCAAACAAAAACCAAAGAAACACTGCCTGCTGTTCTATTTCTGGATTCCAGAGGTAAAAACACCCTGCCTCTGTGCTGTTATGTACATAGTACAAAACCGTACTGATATTAACAAAACCATATATCCCAAACTAAACATAAAATCCCCAAATCAACTCCCTGTCCCCATATGTATTCTGCTCTGAACTACATGGGATTAACATACAGGGACCTTTTAGTCACCCCAATACTATTACCAATTTTTCTATTTTGGGTTTCATCAGAAACCTAGAACAAAACTCCTGAAGTCAGAAAGCACTGTCATGAGGCAGACAAAGTTCAGCACATATGTAAGATGACAGCTAGAACACCTTCAGCAAACCATGGCTTTCCTTTCTCTGCAGGTTACCATGACATGAGGAAAGACCTTCAGAAAGCATTCTGCTTGCTTTCCTTCACCTTGGTTTCTCCCAGTTGTTTTGAAAGGCAGAAGCACAATCCTTATCCTCCAGTACCAACCAGGACTCTATGCAGGAAAGCTAGGTAACTATTATTACCTGAAAAGGAACCAGACTGGCTGGTCAAAACATTTATTTTCATGTAGCACAGAAGAATATTTGTCACATCAGCCAGCAGGTTCCAGAGTAGCTGGGATACCAAAAGTCCATGGTCCAAGAACTGCATCTACGTATCAACCAGTGCCAAAAATACTAAGTGGCTGGTGAAACTTCAGCTATTAAAAGAGGGGATCAAACCTCCAAATCCTCAAAGAATAATCTCACTACCAACCATCAGAGTCCCCAGGTTAACATTCCCCAACCACATTAAACACCCACCGCCTGCCAGAGATGTCCAACACCAGCATCTATTGCAGCATCTGACCTCTACTGAGGCATCTCACTGGAGCACAGACTACCACTAGCTATGATGTGCAGGTCCTGGAAGGAGCTTAGCACCCCTGCACTACGCAGTCAATTCCTGATTAATATTATTTTAATTTTACATATTAAAACTGGTGCTTTGTTGCCTAATGCAATTTCAGAGTCTCTTTTTCACGTTTATCAGAAGAGGAATTATAAGCCTGTATCCTACTCATATTGCAACAAAAGGAACATACACATAAGTCAGTGAGTATGTGAATGCTCCTATAATTAAATGGTAACCTTGTGGAGAAAAAGAAGAGGAAAGGGTAAGCAAAATATCAAAGATTTCAATAAAAGCTTATCAGAAGGCAATTTTATCCTTTAAATTTTTCTCTCAATTGTTTATTGCTTACTTCCAGTTACTATTTTATTAATTATTTTATTGGAACTGAAGATTTTTATGGATTTAAGTGCTTACTTGTTTTCAAATGTTTCCCCAAGACAACTCATGCAATGCCTATGAAGAAAACTCAACTCGGCCTTTGCTGTGCTCATTAGCACATCTGGAGAGAAACTATATTATTTACATACTTTATTATGAAGGAAAAGTTATATTTTCCATTTTCTTTCAACATATTAGATCTGCATAGAGCTAATCTTATTAACTGTGCAATTTTACCATCACCACTATACTTAAGCCTGTACATTGGGTTCCCACCAATGCTGCTGACAGTTGCTCAAGTCGTTGTTTAAGTTTGCTTCATGTTGTTAATGCATGTGCTAGTGTTTTTGTTACGTTGCTAAGCATTACAGGGCTGCCCTCTTAACTGGTCTGAGGCACATTACTATAAAACAGAGCATGTTATCTGTAACACTACCCAAGAAGCAATTTTAAATTAAAAAGAAGTCTCTTTATTTCTTAACAGGCAACTTCTTAAAGAGATTCAAACTTGAAAGAACAAATAACTGTATTTGTTGTTAGACAAACCTATATGAACTGTCTGTGATGTACACTATACATGATGTACACTGTCAGTGACATACGTATGTCTATGTACGTCACAGACATATGATGTACACTGATGTACAACATCAGACAGAGCACCATGCAGTACACTGTTCAGTTGTCAGTCCCAGCAACTGCTGTGAAAGTCTGATATGGTATCTCACTGTAATTTGTAATATGACCAAGGTTCCAGTTCAGCAAAAGCTGGTGCTTCAGCTTTTTCCCTGTTCAACAAAACTCTCAAACATGTCTTTTGTTTCTAAACAAATAGCATTTTAACTGTATTTCAGTAGCCCTTATGCATATCTTCTCATTCTCTAGTGAATCTGGGCCTTATATAAGAGCATCCCACCAGAACAGCCACCATATTAATCAGTAAATAACATCAGCACTCTGTAAAGAAGGAAATGATTTCAGTTTGAAGTCATGCAACTAAATCCCTAAAAAACTAGAAGTTGCTTCACATGAATTATTAAGTTGTTTATAAGACTACTTTTAAACACACTTGAGTCATCAACAAGCAGCAGCCATAAGTAAGTTTTACTGTTACTTTTAAAAACACTGAGTCTATTTTCTTTAAATTTCCCTTAAACATAGGTGTGTTTAGCTTGTCAGAATGATAGGTTTTATTCTCAGAATTTTTGGGACGAGCAACTTCTGAACACCAGGCATATGGTATCATCAGATCCTACACGTGAAGAGGCACAGACCAGAATTGTGCACCGTAGACTCATAAGGAAATTTCACAATAGTTTCAGCTTTTTGTGGGATCACATAGTACATGCACTAGAGTGATACCTGTTGGGTTAATACATCTGTTTCAATGTAGTGCCACACGCATGTTGTACAACACCTATCTTACACAGAGCATGAATAAATGTGTCACACTGGCACATATGAAAATTAAGCCACATAAATCCATATACATGTAGATATCTCAGCAAGGACAAGACAGGTTGATGAGGTTCAATCTGGTTTGAATTCCTTCTTGCACAGTTCTCCTGAAATTTAATATGGCTCCTATTAAGTATACACTTGAGGGCAAAGACAAAGGATGGATTTTTCTGTGGGAACTTGAATGTCGTTTGGGTCTTTCTGGTACCCACCATGACAAAAAATATCCTAGGTAACTGAACACATTAAAAGCAGGCAAGGATCTTTATTCTAGAGGAACCAATGAAATGAACCAATTTAAATACCAAGAAACATACCACCTATTTTTGAGGACTCTTGAATGCCCTGGCAAGCACTTAGAGGAGCAGGAAAGAACAAGTTTCATTCTTACCAAGGAGGAGGAATAAAGTGGATGGGAAGTGCACGGGAACTATCAATTCATGCCACTTTTGCACTGATAACACCACAAATACAGTAGTTTAGTCCTGAGAATCATCAGGGGTTGGAGATAAATAGGGGTAAATAAACAGTAGGCAAAAAGAAACTACATGAAATCAACTGAAAAATTCCCTTAAAATTCACTTATTTGCTTTTTGTGATAAAATACAAACAGAAATAGAAAGGAGATAGTAAATATAGAAATTTTTTTTTAATTTTTTTTTTTGTGGTTGGACTCGATGATCTCAGAGGTCCCTTCCAACCACTAAGATTCTGTGATTCTGTGATACACGGAGGTAAATGTTCTAAGCTGATAAATTCCTTCAAATTTTCAACTTAATGGTATTTCTAAAATTTAAGTACTATATAAACAACATTTTCAGAGGTCATTAAAGCAAAAAAGAAGACAAAAACATGGCAAGAATTTCTCGCTGTATTGCATTTGGTTCTTGGTGACCAAATTCAACAGTACATGCAACCAAATGCATTGCTGCTAAAAACTTACATTTGCTGCCAACAGCACTGTAACTAAACAAAATCCCATAAACACAAAATATTTCACATAAACTGACTCTGCTATGGAAACCAGAGAAGCAGAAATGTTACATTAGTCCAAATAACTATCTATTGACAAGGAACCACAGTTGCTTTTTGAAAGTAGTAGTTATTACTAGTATTATTAGCGGACAGTTACTACTATTATTATTACTACTATTAAGTACAATTAATAGTTGTTGAGTTTATCTCTGCATTTGTGAGGCTCTCTTTGCCAGCCTACACCTACAGACAGAGAAGTGCAAATAATATATTTATAAATGCATTACTAAGCAAAATTCACTTTAAAAAGTATTTGAAATTTTTAAAGTCCTTCCTTAGAGTCTTCCTGCATTCTTCTCTTGTCAAAAAAAGTACATAATTGGCACATAGGATGCAAATAATCAGCAATGAGCAGGGCGCAAGGGATCAACCAAATGATCTAACTTTTATAAAGCACACCACAGTTTGCATGAGCTAAGAACCATAGGCATTAGCTTGGAAGCTTAAAGAAATAAAAACTTCAGCTTGCAGTAACTCATTAATTTACCTTAGGTTTGCATGTATTCTAGAATGATATCTGATTTTATAACTGCTTAATGTATACACTAGTGCGATTCTGAGAAGTCTGGATTCAGGCATCCTTCATTTGATACAATGAGTCACAGTGTCTGTTACTGCTTCAACAAGGATAGCTTGAACTATTCTGCTTGAAATACTTTAAGTTCACTATTTTCTAAGTCAAGGTGGCGGTGGGAAGGAAGTTTCACTTATGAAAAGTAGTCACTGAGACTACCTCCTCTTCACCTCCTTAAAACCTCTGGTTAAAAAAGTCAGATGAATGCTCTGAACAGCACCTTGGTGCTCAGAAGAAAATACTCAAAAGGCATAACCTACTGCACATCCTCCATCCCTCAAACAGCAGTCAAACTTCAAAGTCAGACAGCATGTGAAAATACCAGATAATATAAACTGAATTTCATTTACTCACCACTGTTCCAAGTCCTTAGGTCTTGGTCAATCACTTCAGATGCCTGGCAATACCTAGAGAAATAATTGACATAAAATGTAAGAAAGGTACAGAGTCAAAAACATTAAAACAATATTTACTATTAGCATTGGTGGCTGGAATGGTACAACTCTACTTGTAAGAGATTATATGAACATGGGTAACATTTCACTACCAGGACACTTCTGCTTTGCTAGAAATGCGGCATTCTAGACATCACTCCAATCTCTAAGGAGCTAAGAAAAATAAGCATATGTGATGTGAAGAAGAAATGCATAAACTGCTAAGCATGCACAAAATTGCATCTTTTTCTCTTCCTCTATTTCACTAATAAAGTGTGCCAAGATTTGAAAACACATTTTAAATTATTTGCATATTCTATTCCGATTTATAACAACAATTTAAAATCAGGTATTGCTTAGGACAAACTCCCAAAAGTTCCTAAACCACTGGAATAAAAACCTGAATTACCATAGAATGTTCACCCCACAAGCACCTCCAAACCTCTTCTCCCATGCGACACACATATTTCATGGAATTCAGCAAAGACAAAGATTAAGTCCTGTGCCTGAGTTGGGCTAACCCATTGGACATGCTGGCACTGACTACCCAGGGTGCAGCTCTCTGAAATGGAGCTGGGGGTCTGGGCAAACAGTGGGCTAAACATGAGCCAGCAGTGAGCCCGACCAGCAAGGGAGGCCAAAAATATCCTGGGGAGTATCTACAGGTAAGCCTCCTCCTAATAAGCAACCATTTGCCTTTAGCCAGAACTTGAGGAATACATGTATGCACTACCACATCCCATTTGGGATCACCAATACCAAAAAGTTAAAAAAAAAAGGTGATAATGGTAAGACTGGTAAGACCGATTTAGTGATGCAGAACTACAGGATTTCCCACAATAATAACAAATTCTGCATTTTTATACATACATTAGGACCGGCTATATGAAAAACCTCCCTTTACATAAAAGAACAAAATGAGTTGGAAAGTCAGTAGGCTCTAATGAAGAGAAGCAATTTGGTCTTGGTGAAGATGGTTTAACAACAGAAAAATTGGTGCAGAACTCCTAATAAAGCGTGCTGCTGAGGACAGATGAAAACACATTGGGAACACTGGAAAGTCAAGCATGGCTTAAAATGGCCTCTGAATTCCTGGCACATAGAATATTCCTCTAGAAAAAAAAAACAAAACCAGACTGGTCTAAGTAGCTGTGATTACTCCAGCTTTTCTCTTCTGTCTCAAAAGCAGTTAATATGATGATGAAAATACTGCAGTGTTAGCAGAGACAAGAGACTATGTTTCATAAAGAAAAAAGGCCAAATTGTTTTCTTTTAGACTCAAGCACACTTGCTCAAAATGCATGCTCAATTTTAAGTATGTGAAAATGATGGATTGCTTGGACAATTAGAATTAAGTGGTGCTTTTAAGGAAAATTTCCTTGCCTGAAGTCTGTGTCCCTAAGAAAGAGAAGCAGTAAGGGCAGGGTGAGACAGGATCAGCCCATCAAGGAGGCTGTAGAAGAGCCTTCAGATCTCACAGATCCATCCACCCGCCAAAGACACAGCAATGATCTCCCTCATACACACACAAGAAATATTAAAAAAAAAAAAAAAAAAAAAAAAAAAAAAAAAAAAAAAAAAAAAAAAAAAAAAAAAAAAGAGGAGGAGATCAAGTATTATATTAAAAAGAAAGGCTCTTTTTGCCACACCATTTGTGACAAAGTTAACAAAAAGAAACTCCACATGCCTTCCACCGCCCCATCACCACACAGGCCTGTGTGCACTTTCCTTATGCCGCAGACAGCCAAAATGAAACCCAAATCCTCCCAAACAAATCAGGATGAGAAAAACACATGTATGCTCTCACTCTTTCTCACAGATTTTGCAATAGCTCAGATGGATTTCTACAACAGTTGGCAAAAATACAGAAAATCCATTTCTTCCATCAACTCAACTGGCTGTAATTTTCTCTGCATCAACACACCCACCCCCAGCCCTCCCCCTCCTCCAAAAAAAAAAAAAGAGAAGAATAAAGAGAATAAAATATTCCATTCTTAATTTTTAGCTCATTTCTCATTTGTAAAGGAGAAATGCTTCAGCACAATCCAGGGAGAAAGTGTCCATACCAAGGAAAGTCATTGATTTAAACTTTCATTTACAGTCAACAGGAGAAGCAAACAGGCTGGACACTGTTAAGGGAACACAGTTGGTTTGATAACATCCCCTTGTCACATAGCCTGGCTTTGTACACAAAAGGAATTGGGTATACTTAGGCTCCCCAGCAAAAATAAAATAAAAAAAGAACACAGATATATCCGCTGTATCTTAAAACATCCCTTTCAAGTAGCTTTTTCTTCAGATATACTACTGTGCGATACTTCCATGTATTATATAACAAGAAGTATCCAAATCAAAGAAATATTTACTTACTTCAGGAAGGTTTGTATGACCAATTATGTCACTATGAATAGAAATAATGCATTCAATGGCTTCTTTGTCTTTTGCTATCAATGTACAACAGTATAAAATAAAAAAAACCACATACTGTTTCATAGGCGTCATTAAGGCTACAGTCAGAAATAACAGCAAAACAAAAAGGAGAAAGTATTTTCTTAAGAGATACACTGCTAGCAGGTTAAAAAAAACACCTCTAAATTAATTACAATGCTAAACACCATAGGAAACTAACAGCTTGAGATATACGATAGACTTTTAAACATTTTTACTGAGGCTGATTCTTCTCTGTTTCACTCAAACCTACAAAAGAAAAAAATTTCCAATTTTGCTTTTTGCATTATCTACCTTATCTTTTAAACCTACATGATCATGCTACATAACAATATGTATGTAATTTAAGGCAAATTCAGAAGAGCATTCCATACAGAGCAACATAATTTGCCAGCTATTTCAATGAGAACAAAAAAATTCTCACTTTTTTACATTACATAAAATATTTCACCCAATTGCACCTGCCTTGAAGTTTACACCTAATAAAAGCCAGATGTACTTCTAATACACTGCTGATCCCTGCTCTTAATTCCTCTTTTCCCACTGCACCACCTTAACCAAGAAAGAAGTACAGCGTAGTTTTACACATCATTAAAATGTTTAAACCAAATATTGCATTTTTATAATCCTAGGAATTCCCACAAAACTAAACAGGATAAATACAGAAGCATTAAGCGACCTGCACTGTGAATTAAAAGATCCCTCTTAGCTTGTTACCTAATACAATAAGCACCTGAGTGATAAGTGAATCCAACTACCATATTTGTTCAATAAGCCAGTCATTACTAACTGAAGTAAAACGTATGCAAATTTATTTTTAGTTATGTTATCCTGTAAAATGAATTTTGTCTTCTAGGGTTTATTTTACTAAGCATAAAACTTTATTTGAAGTTAGTAATATGGAACATTAGCCAGTAGGCTGATCCCCCATTCACTGAAATCAATGGGAGCTCTCATCTTTAATGTTACCCATGAGGGCAAAAGGGCATAAATTGTTTACTCTGAAGGCTGCGTAAAAGCACTTGAGTTGACTCTTCACCGTGCTTCTTGAGTCGTATCTCTGTGTCACAGGGTGAGCAAAGCAAAAAGGTGAGTCACTCTCCCACAGCAGCACCATGAGTTACGCCACAGCCAGGGCTTTGGTCTTGCTCCATACAACCCACCACCTCCACCAGCCCAAGGCAGACAAACCCAGCAGCTTTACGGCAGTATCTCCAGCAAGAACATCCACAGTCACTAAAAACGTTCCTTGGCTCCGTTCTGGCCATAAAGCTGCTCTAGGGGGCTGCAGTTTGGCCACCACCAAGAGGGACCAGAGAAGAAGTGACTTAGAGGGCTGCCTGCACATGGATGGTCCACCCCGTTGGAGCTGGGATGGGAACAGGGACACAAGTAACACAGCTCCAACGCTGCTGGATTGATGGCCCCAGTCTGGGATGAAGCAGGCTCCTGGGCCACAGGCAGGAGTGCAGTCAGGATCCGGGGGAGGCCAAGGTCCCTTGGTGCCCCAGAGGCACTGACGGCCCTGGCCTTGGGACACTCATTCAACGCTCTAACCAGCAGCAGGCTCCTCAGCAATCAGCTAAAAATCACTTGGCAAGCTCTTGGCAGGCTATTCTTCTTCCTAAATGTCAGCTGGCTTAATAAATAACAATTTCTGGTGAGTATTATTAGCATCCGAATTATTGCCCCCAGATTACCACACTGTGGCCTGCAAAACGGTAAGTTTACAAATAAAGCCGTCTGCTGGCAGAAGTGGAACAGAACGACTCCAAAAGAGACAGCTCAGTTATCTTTTCCTGAAGGCCCAGAGATGGCAACGATGGAGTTTTGCTAAGGCGTAAGCAATTAATGCACTGTTTTATTTAATCAGTAGACAACCTGAGCCTGCTGCAGAAGGCTCTAAGAGTATTCCCATCATGACAGTCTGGAAAAAAAAAAAAGACATTATCTCACACAGACACACACACTCTTCAAACCAGCAGCTGTGGGGTTTGTTTTGTTTTCAATCCAACACCCACTTCTCAGGCCAAAGTTATATTCAGAGTATCATCCTAGTGACACAAGCTGTGACTACTACAAATCTGTAGATCGTTAAAATGTCCAAATCGCCTTGTACAATTTCTGTGTCTTCCAGCACTCCTGTACCACAACAGAATTAGGAACCTGTTTGTTTTGTGGTTTCAAACTTAAGAAAAAAATGCCTTAAGCACAATCCTCCCATCCCCTCCCCACAAAGAAAAGCAGACTTGTTTTAACATTCAGCTTCCTTTACATTTACAGCAAGATATCTAACAAAGCAACCAAACACAGAACTAGGGGCTGACTTACTAAGACACAAACAAGCTGTTAAGAGTCCTAAAAATACAATTTCAAACTCCTCTATGATGTCAGGAAAACAACATTGTTTACCTTCAGCATATATTCTATATTGGCCTAATTTCCATGCCTTCCTCACAGCTTTCATCTTCATCGATGCAATAAAAAAGCCCATATAAAAAGTAGGTTACCGAATTAAAGCATAC